TCATTTTTTGTATTGAAGTTGAACCCAGGAGTGCTTAACTACTGAACCCCAGTCTCAGCCCAGTTTGTTTTTGATTTAGAGACAGGGTCTCTCTAAGTTGCTTAGGGCCTTGCTAAGTTGCTGAGGCTGGCTTTGAACTTGTGATCCTCCTGCCTCAGGTTTCCTAGCCACTGGGATTACAGGCATGTGACACCACTCCTGGCCATTCTATCACCATTTCTAATTTAGACTTTTGTTTTAACTCTCTAATTGGTCTTCCTACCTATGATATTTTCTACTGCAATTAAATTCTTAATTCAGTCACTTATTGTTGAACTAAATTGAATGAGGATTTAAGGTTACCTTAGTTGACTTTAAGTCTGTGAGGCTCTTTCTATCAAGTTAATTACATGAGCTTTATGGAACTCATAAAGATATTACCAATAAAATAACATTTATCATTTATTGGGCATTTTATCATGTGTTCTAATGCTATTTACTAATTAACTTATTTGATTTTTGTGGATTATTGTTATTTTTTAAAACTCTGAATGACTAATTCACTGACCATTTCACACTTGAATCCCAACTTTTGTCATTATGTAGAGAAATTCTCTTTTTATAAGCCACCGAAGGTGTTGCATAGTAAAGAGTGGACTTAAAGGTATCAGAAATACTAGCTATATGCACTCAAGCATATTAATGAATTTAAATTGAGAATTGAATCATTTAAAATTACTATTTTACTCTACTTGTTAACTTACTTGTTAGTTCACATACTAATTAAGAGGTGCACGACAATCTTGTTTTCCTGTCCAAACTTTTACAATGGATGAGGAAATATTTCTGTGAACACCATCATCTGGTTAGTATCCATATGCATACATTTTATAAAACCTTTAACCAAAATCATTTTCTATATATTTTATATAGAAAGCCTATAAAGTAAGCACATTTATATCCTCAGGTTAGCCACATGTTTCTCAAAATTTTAACATTAAATTTCAACAGCAGTAAGTTGCATTTCCAGATTTTCAGTGTTGTAGTGTTTGGACAGTTTTTTTTTTTTTTAAGAAATTATAAGGAAAACTGACAATTAAAATAAAAGTCATAATCCAAACACAAAAACCTTAAAAAACCATAGATGGTACCTTTCCTTTTCCAGGGGAGATCTCCAAGGTGGTGAACCTGTCTGCATGTTTAATGATGCAGTGACAGGCAGCACAGTTAGGGCTTCTGAAAGAGAATGATTTTGCTCAGTCGATTCACATTAATATCATTTAATGTGCTGTGCAAGTACCTCTCTGGTTTCCTGGGACAGCCCTCACAGTTTTGAGGTTATTCTTTTAGGGGAAGGAAGATCAAGTGTAATAAGGTGTATTTTAGTTAAGATAGTTGCATTATCTGGCTAGTTTTCTCCCCAGGGGAGAAAGAAAATATAAAAAGTACTTACGAACCTCACTGGCAATTGTGAAAGAAACATGGCCTTTATTGAGAGCTAGGCATTTTGGAGTGAGATTGACTGAGTTTGACTGCAGAAGCTGTCCCTCTTCTGGGTTCAGTCCCCAAATCACCCAGAACCAGGCTTTTGGTATGTGGATACAAGAGCAGTGAG